ATTCTAACCACATAAATTTATTTGAGGTTTTAATGTTTGTAGGCCAAAAGTTTTTTGCAACTACAAGAAAATTTGAAAATTTGAAAATTTTTCCCTAAGTTAATGTCTAAGTTTTATGGACATAAAAAAACCAAGAGTTTATGGTAATTACAAATTTTTTTAAAAATCACGTGTTAGAGAGTCTATCTTTTCATTTGGTGTATATTTACAATGTCAAATTTGATTAGATTTTACAAAATAACGATCAATATATAGATACTGTTTTATTAAGTTTAATTCTACTATTTTTACTTAATACATGTCAAATTAAGGTGTTAAAATTACAATAATTACAATAATTAATTGAATTTTTGTGTAAGAGGTTTGCTCTTTGAGCTTTATATTGAACAATAAAAAATTTGAGAAGACATTGGTTTATATACTTTTAAAAAAAATTATTTATTTTGGGTCAAATAAAGAGAGATTGAAACTTTTTCAATCTTTGACCCTCACCTCCCAAAAAAGGAAATTGAAATCACAATCTTATTAAACTTACTTTAGCTATTTACAATGTCGGGATCAATTTTCTAATTTTGCTACTAAACAAAATATTCGTAATGAGACTGCCCACGTGTACATCAATTAGTATGTCTATATGACGTAGACTAATTTTTGGCATCCACTTTTTAAATTCTAAGGGCTTGTTTGGATGAATTTTTGGAAAGGGTTTGAATTGACTTCTCCAAACCCTTCCAAACTCAAATCCTCTTTAGAAAGATGAGATTCAAAATTGAATTTAATTCATATCCATGTTTGATATGTTAATGGATATATCATTATTATGATAATATATATATATATATATTTAAATGACTATTTTGTCAATTCATTAATCTAATTTAAACCTATGTTTGTATATGTATAGAGTATAATTATTTTTTTATATCCTAAACTCGTTAACTCTCATCCAAAACCCACCTCCCCCCGGTTTGATGAAACCTGTGATTTGGGGTTTAAGGTCCGGGGCAATAAAAGGTTAGGCTCGATAACCTAAGTTNTACAATGTTGTATGGGCAATGCGTAGCTAAAAACAGGGGTTCTTTGAAAGTCGGTATATTAAATTAAACATAATTGTAAGAAAGTACACAGAAAAAATGTTTTGAAAAGAAGCACACTACTGAGAAACAAAGACGTAACTGTCTATTTTATAAAATTTTATTTCCCAAAAATTGTAACAAGGAATTTATCTTAACCGTTGAAATTTAGGGACATTTTTTTTTGAATCTCTTACATCCTAAAATTTACTTTCCTAAAACGGTTTTAGAAATATATCTTAATTAATTAATTAATTAGATACACAATGATAATGGTTAATCGCTGAAATTTAGGAATATTTATTTGTGAAGCGTTTCATATTTGGAAAACGTTTGGGCTTCTTCTTTCTCTCTAAAAACCACTTTATCTTCTTCGATGATAAGACCTAAAATTGTTCTTTGAACATCTATAGGGTTTCGTCTTTGAAGGAAAAATCTAATTGTTCAACTCATTTGATGTAAGATCGTCAACAACATCTATTTTTTGAAGATTTATTCGTCATTTGAAGATACGTACAAACTTTGGTATTCGAAGACCAGAGCTTGTTGTTGAAAGTTGATCGTTGGCCTGTGTAAAATACAATATTTTTGCCATGTGTTTTTGCCATATTAATTCATTGTGTGTGAATAAATTGTGTATCTTTTAACTGCTGACTGTATTTTCCTCACAAGGTAACAAAAAACAGTGTAATAATACACTGTAACAAAGACAGTGTTCCGTGATTTTATAGATGTGATAACAAATTCAAAACAGAGATGGACTGTTTGAATGAAATTATATGCAAATATATGTTTGATAAAATATANTTAAATTTATAATTATATTGTGTCATTTGGAGTTGAATTGTGATAGTGATAATAAATTCATGAGTTTATAAATGAACCAAATTTGGTTTTATTTGTCGTTTGAAGATTGTGAATTTAATTGTATTCTGTTAATATATATATTTTTTTGCTTGAGGTATTTATTACATGGAGATATGGTGGATTAAAAATATGGTAGTTGAGTTGATAATTATGTTGTGTTATTGGATGAAGTAGTAATAGAGGTGATAATTCGTGAGTCTTATAAATGAGTAAGATTTTATTTATTTAATTTATTGCTTAAAGATTGTAAATTTTAATGGATTATGTTAGTATTTTTTTTTCATAGACATTTGTATATATGGTGTTATTTTAGAGAGTTTTGATATATTTTTATGATAGTTCCATTAATATGGAGGATATAATCGATAATATATTTTGAGCCATTTTAAAAGAAGAATTTATATGAATATTTTTAGGTAATTTCTTTTCAATTTGGACAATTGTTTAAAAAAAATTTGCTTGTTGTATAGTGCCTGAAGACACGATAAAATATAAAATTTGAGCGTCCAAAAAATCGATCTCACTATATTAAATTTTTTCAAAATATATTAATTACAAATTAATCAAATATTAAATGATTAAATATATTATTGAAATGCGTAATGTGATATTTTTAGGAAGAAAATATATAAATGATTAAACATGTGATAGAAATAAGTGATGTGATTTAACGTTTGAGTTTGACAAAAGGATGATGGGAGAAGTAAGTGATTGATGATGGTTTTGAGGGAAAAAATATGACTGGGATAAAATTCAAACACACTCCTATTTTATTATATAGATATAAACTAAAAAAACCCTAATCGTCTACTGAGTCCTGTTCAAGCACCTCACACGGTCACACCTCGCTCTACTCCTCCTTCATCTCCACTCCTTCATCATTCAGTCTCATTCCCAGGAACTCTTTCTCTCTCTCTCTTTGCGCGATCTGGTGTGGTCTGGTTCTCTGTTGTCATTTTTCACTATTTTGAGGTTTGATGTATGTTTACTTGAAGTTGAAGAGACTAATTATTTTGGATGTGAGTTTTGTTTGTTTATTGTTTAAAAGCTTATTTTCTTGAGAGCCTTTGGTCTGCTTTCCGAATGCTAGTTGGGACTTGAGCTTCAAAGCTCGAGTGTGAGATCGGGTAGGGTAGGCCAATTATCTAATAATTAAAATAATTGACATTGTATATGTGTAACAATTATGGTGGATTGATATTCATATTTTTTTGTGTTTTATTATAATTGTTGTTGTAGTTGTTTTAAATTTTAGTATTTTTAATTTATTGTGCTGTTAAATTGGTGCATGTTATTGAATTAAATTATTAAAATAATCCAAAAATTAATAGTTACAAAAGTGTTTACCTGACTTTTTACCCGATTAATCGGGTACAAATACTAGACCTAATCAGGTAGGTTAGACCAAGAAAAAATTCTTCCGCAAAGTATTAAGTAAGAAGACGTAAGATCATATTTTCTATTCATAAAGTAGGGTGAACACTTCTAGGCCCAATAACCCATCTTGGAGTCATCTTTGGTACAATGATCTTCAAACTATGGTCCACATTCCTAGGACAATCTTAAAAATAGCCCAATGCGCTGCCTCCTAAAACACAGATGCTAAGGTGTAACTGTACTATTAATAAAATGAAGTTAAGCGATTTCTTTTTGATTAACTATAATATCTATTATAAAATATATAATTTTCTTGAACAATTTTCTTTCATCTTCTCCAATTAATTACATACTCCTATACTATTATTTTATCTCCTTAAATTAGTTTTGTATATATATTTAATATTTCCTGTATTCATTTCAACTTTAATTATTGATTTTAATTCTAATGATGTTCATATCATTATGAGTAGTAACACATTATCACCTTTTTGTTTCTTCGTATAATAGACTCAGCAACTTTTGATCTTCTAATTCTAACCACATAAATTTATTTGAGGTTTTAATGTTTGTAGGCCAAAAGTTTTTTTGCAACTACAAGAAAATTTGAAAATTTTTCCCTAAGTTAATGTCTAAGTTTTATGGACATAAAAAAACCAAGAGTTTATGGTAATTACAAATTTTTTTAAAAATCACGTGTTAGAGAGTCTATCTTTTCATTTGGTGTATATTTACAATGTCAAATTTGATTAGATTTTACAAAATAACGATCAATATATAGATACTGTTTTATTAAGTTTAATTCTACTATTTTTACTTAATACATGTCAAATTAAGGTGTTAAAATTACAATAATTACAATAATTAATTGAATTTTTGTGTAAGAGGTTTGCTCTTTGAGCTTTATATTGAACAATAAAAAATTTGAGAAGACATTGGTTTATATACTTTTAAAAAAAATTATTTATTTTGGGTCAAATAAAGAGAGATTGAAACTTTTTCAATCTTTGACCCTCACCTCCCAAAAAAGGAAATTGAAATCACAATCTTATTAAACTTACTTTAGCTATTTACAATGTCGGGATCAATTTTCTAATTTTGCTACTAAACAAAATATTCGTAATGAGACTGNGGGACCATCGTGTTTTGTCAATTGTGATAACTTGGTGCTTATTTTTTTTGTGTGGTAGGTTCATATATGCATTTATGGGAGTGGGGGTTGTGGTATGTTGTATCTCTTGCATTGGTCACATTGGAGCTGAAGCAATTAATGGGTGTTGCCTTTGCTTTGTATCCTCTCTCTTGGTTAAGAATAACCACTTCTGTTAGTTCTCTTAGAATTTATCTCTTGCATTGCTTATATACTGTTAGACGATTGAATTAAAATGATTACATAATTGCTCCATTCTGATCTCGTTATTAGTGGATTTACAGCTCCAATTCCAAAATTGGGTTTGATGGTTTGGTTATGCAATGTTTTTGGATAATTAATAACTAACGGATTCATAGGACGTGGTATTGCTGAAGTAGGACTACTGAGAACTTTGGAAAAATGTTTGCTGAGCTTGTACCGAGATAAGTGCAAATTAGGTTTTGTTATTCTAATAAAATCTGAAAATGGAACTTTATTAGTTGAGAGTAATTATCTAGGTACTGATTATTTTTCTTTTTGAATGGAACTCAATGGAGCAACTTCTGAAGATTCAGTTTTCCGCATCTAATATTGATGTTAGACAATCCCTTAGTTTGCTAACTAATGTTTTTGTAGCTGAACTCATGCCCTTGTACATTTATCCTTAACCTCATAAAATACTTAGCATGCTTTACTCACAACCGCACTCATTTTACTGGAAGTGGCTTTGGTGGCATTTGTTGCACTTGATCATCATTGGGAGAAGGTGCAGTTGCTATTTTGATATTTCGTGCTGGTGTGTTGGTTTTTGATCCTGCTTACATATCTATTATATAATTTTCAGGATCTTCCATTTGACCCAACTGGAGAACTGTATAGAATTCGGGCTTTCATCGAAAACAATGTTGAAGTTTGTAAGTGGGTTGGAATCAGTTTGGTTGTAATTCAGGTTTGTTTTAGCTCCTATCAGTTCTATTCATGGAATCCTAAGGTTTGTTTCTTTATAAAGCACACCAAGTACTAATATTCATGATTTAACTCCAATCCTCCCCTTAACCCCTCAACTGAGAAAGCGGAAATACTCATTTAAAAGAGCATGTGCAGAAGGAATCGCAACTCATAATTCTGACATTTTATTGTAAATTTGATTGTCATCTGTTAGTTGGATACTTGGATGTGCTAATCGTGTCTGATAGACATCTTCCTTGGTATTGTTTTCAGGTTTTATCCCTACTTCTCGCAATGATCCTGCGAGCCATGGTTTCTATAAGGCGAGAAGACAGTGACATTGAGGGAGGCTATGATGTTAGCGATAGAACACCACTGCTAAATCCACAACTAAGCCAAACATATGGGTCAATCAAAGGCATTAGAACTCACTCTGACAGCTGGAGCTCACGCATGAGAGAAAAGGTATCTCTTTAGTCATTATTCAGAAACCTTGTGGACTGCCTTTCTGATCTCAACAGATCTGTTTTCTAGACTTTTTACTAAATCTCAAAGGAGAAAAAAGAGTAAAATATCAATACTGCATTCTTTGACAAATCAACTACTGTTATAAGAAATTCAGTGGAGTAAAAGAGCACTGGATTATACCTCTTCTATATAAATCAGCTATTGTTCATTTATTTACTCCTTAAAGTTGTCTTTTGCTCATCTATATAATAAAGTAACTTACAATTCAAATCTCAAAAGATAAATAAAATGACTTTTACTATTCGCGATTGAGATCGCTTTAAATTTTACTTTAAAGTTAATCTAACGGTTAATATTAACACCCTAAATTTAATAGAAAAAATAGGCCCCTAAGGGTGTATTTAGAGTGACTTTTTAAAGGTATTTTTAGAAATTATTTTTCATAAATATTTAAAAAGAAAATAGTGTTTGAAACCGCTTAAACAATATCTCTATCACCATGCTCACTCCTACCCCCACTCCCACCACCACTACCACTGTCGCGACTGCTGCCGCCGCTATCGTCACTACCACCACCGTCGTGGCCACTTCCATCATCACCACCATCACCATCGTCGTCGTCGCAGCCGTCGCCACCACTACCACCACCACTACCACTGTCGACGCCGTCGCCACCACCACCACCACTACCACTGCCGACACNATTGTAAATTAATATATATTTTTATCAAAAATTGACACTTAATTTTCTCTAATTTATATTCAACTTTATCTAAGTAATATCAAATTGATATTAAAATTTATTTAATCAATTTTTTGGAGTACTAAATTATATCAATTTTTTGAGTACTAAATCAAAATTTCTTTTATTTTATTAAATTTTTAATTTTTTTGGTACTAAATTTGGTGAAGGACAATTATAAAATGATAAAGTTTTTTAGGATAAAATTATCAATTTTCGTTTGCAACATTGACGAAAGGGAGACAGAGGGGGTCTCCGTGAAATGAATAACAAACCTCAGGGGATCTCCGTGTTATTTATAAAATATCAGGCAGTGTTCGTGTAATATTTTCAAAACTTAGGGAATATCTATGATTTTTAGTTTTTTACCCTAGTTTTTAATTAAATATTAATATATTATTATTTTACCTTAAAAACTTAAATTATTGTATTTCTAATAAAAACAATTATTGACTATAATGGTTTGTTGATGACCAAAAAAGATATATGTGTGAGTGTGTTTTTGTGTATATTTACTTGTGGAGGATTGAACATTTAGTGATTAAATTTATAATTATATTGTGTCATTTGGAGTTGAATTGTGATAGTGATAATAAATTCATGAGTTTATAAATGAACCAAATTTGGTTTTATTTGTCGTTTAAAGATTGTGAATTTAATTGTATTCTGTTAATATATATTTTTTTTTGCTTGAGGTATTTATTACATGGAGATATGGTGGATTAAAAATATGGTAGTTGAGTTGATAATTATGTTGTGTTATTGGATGAAGTAGTAATAGAGGTGATAATTCGGGAGTCTTATAAATGAGTAAGATTTTATTTATTTAATTTATTGCTTAAAGATTGTAAATTTTAATGGATTATGTTAGTATTTTTTTTCATAGACATTTGTATATATGGTGTTATTTTAGAGAGTTTTGATATATTTTTATGATAGTTCCATTAATTTGGAGGATATAATCGATAATATATTTTGAGCCATTTTAAAATAAGAATTTATATGAATATTTTTAGGTAATTTCTTTTCAATTTGGACAATTGTTTTAAAAAAATTTGCTTGTTGTATAGTGCCTGAAGACACGATAAAATATAAAATTTGAGCGTCCAAAAAATCGATCTCACTATATTAAATTTTTTCAAAATATATTAATTATAAATTAATCAAATATTAAATGATTAAATATATTATTGAAATGCGTAATGTGATATTTTTAGGAAGAAAATATATAAATGATTAAACATGTGATAGAAATAAGTGATGTGATTTAACGTTTGAGTTTGACAAAAGGATGATGGGAGAAGTAAGTGATTGATGATGATTTTGAGGGAAAAAATATGACTGGGATAAAATTCAAACACACTCCTATTTTATTATATAGATATAAACTAAAAAAACCCTAATCGTCTACTGAGTCCTGTTCAAGCACCTCACACGGTCACACCTCGCTCTACTCCTCCTTCATCTCCACTCCTTCATCATTCAGTCTCATTCCCAGGAACTCTTTCTCTCTCTCTCTTTGCGCGATCTGGTGTGGTCTGGTTCTCTGTTGTCATTTTTCACTATTTTGAGGTTTGATGTATGTTTACTTGAAGTTGAAGAGACTAATTATTTTGGATGTGAGTTTTGTTTGTTTATTGTTTAAAAGCTTATTTTCTTGAGAGCCTTTGGTCTGCTTTCCGAATGCTAGTTGGGACTTGAGCTTCAAAGCTCGAGTGTGAGATCGGGTAGGGTAGGCCAATTATCTAATAATTAAAATAATTGACATTGTATATGTGTAACAATTATGGTGGATTGATATTCATATTTTTTTGTGTTTTATTATAATTGTTGTTGTAGTTGTTTTAAATTTTAGTATTTTTAATTTATTGTGCTGTTAAATTGGTGCATGTTATTGAATTAAATTATTAAAATAATCCAAAAATTAATAGTTACAAAAGTGTTTACCTGACTTTTTACCCGATTAATCGGGTACAAATACTAGACCTAATCAGGTAGGTTAGACCAAGAAAAAATTCTTCCGCAAAGTATTAAGTAAGAAGACGTAAGATCATATTTTCTATTCATAAAGTAGGGTGAACACTTCTAGGCCCAATAACCCATCTTGGAGTCATCTTTGGTACAATGATCTTCAAACTATGGTCCACATTCCTAGGACAATCTTAAAAATAGCCCAATGCGCTGCCTCCTAAAACACAGATGCTAAGGTGTAACTGTACTATTAATAAAATGAAGTTAAGCGATTTCTTTTTGATTAACTATAATATCTATTATAAAATATATAATTTTCTTGAACAATTTTCTTTCATCTTCTCCAATTAATTACATACTCCTATACTATTATTTTATCTCCTTAAATTAGTTTTGTATATATATTTAATATTTCCTGTATTCATTTCAACTTTAATTATTGATTTTAATTCTAATGATGTTCATATCATTATGAGTAGTAACACATTATCACCTTTTTGTTTCTTCGTATAATAGACTCAGCAACTTTTGATCTTCTAATTCTAACCACATAAATTTATTTGAGGTTTTAATGTTTGTAGGCCAAAAGTTTTTTGCAACTACAAGAAAATTTGAAAATTTGAAAATTTTTCCCTAAGTTAATGTCTAAGTTTTATGGACATAAAAAAACCAAGAGTTTATGGTAATTACAAATTTTTTTAAAAATCACGTGTTAGAGAGTCTATCTTTTCATTTGGTGTATATTTACAATGTCAAATTTGATTAGATTTTACAAAATAACGATCAATATATAGATACTGTTTTATTAAGTTTAATTCTACTATTTTTACTTAATACATGTCAAATTAAGGTGTTAAAATTACAATAATTACAATAATTAATTGAATTTTTGTGTAAGAGGTTTGCTCTTTGAGCTTTATATTGAACAATAAAAAATTTGAGAAGACATTGGTTTATATACTTTTAAAAAAAATTATTTATTTTGGGTCAAATAAAGAGAGATTGAAACTTTTTCAATCTTTGACCCTCACCTCCCAAAAAAGGAAATTGAAATCACAATCTTATTAAACTTACTTTAGCTATTTACAATGTCGGGATCAATTTTCTAATTTTGCTACTAAACAAAATATTCGTAATGAGACTGCCCACGTGTACATCAATTAGTATGTCTATATGACGTAGACTAATTTTTGGCATCCACTTTTTAAATTCTAAGGGCTTGTTTGGATGAATTTTTGGAAAGGGTTTGAATTGACTTCTCCAAACCCTTCCAAACTCAAATCCTCTTTAGAAAGATGAGATTCAAAATTGAATTTAATTCATATCCATGTTTGATATGTTAATGGATATATCATTATTATGATAATATATATATATATATATTTAAATGACTATTTTGTCAATTCATTAATCTAATTTAAACCTATGTTTGTATATGTATAGAGTATAATTATTTTTTTATATCCTAAACTCGTTAACTCTCATCCAAAACCCACCTCCCCCCGGTTTGATGAAACCTGTGATTTGGGGTTTAAGGTCCGGGGCAATAAAGGGTTAGGCTCGATAACCTAAGCTTCAGATTTTTGGCCAAACATGAATTTTATGTTTTATTTGAACTATTTTTTTTTTACTCATCTTCCAAAACCTCTCAATCCCACGTACCAAACAATGCCTAATGGTGCAGAACGAAACAAAATTAGAAGTAGAAAAAAAAACCACAAAAGAAAAAAAAAACACAAAAAATTGAGAACATAAAAGCAAAAATTCAAAGCACTGATAGGGATCGCTCTTGTTCAGCCATTAATTTAATCTTCTAGGGTTAGGGTTTCAAATTCACAATCTCTGATCCAAAAGCAATAAGCACAAGAAAATGCGTACCACTCGGCGGTGTTGCCACACTTTCCTCGCTTTCATTCTCAAATTCGTTAATTTCCTCCAAACATTCGTTGGTCTCTCGATCGTTATATACTCTGCCTATATGCTTAATCAATGGCATAACAATCACTCTCAAAGCCCTGTACATTTACCTCCGTCGCCGGACTTTCCTGACGCAATTTTGTCGAATTTCGACGCAGTTAAGGGTCCTGATCACGTCACTCCTTTGAATTTGGCAGCCAACGTCGTTTCCGGTCTAGAATTCAATGTCCAAAATCTTCCCGCTCCATGGTTCAGTGATTTTATTTATAATTTTATCTGATTTTCTGTTTTTTGATTATTGTAATTGATGATAAGATAGGAACGAGTGTGTTATATCTGGAGGGACCATCGTGTTTTGTCAATTGTGATAACTTGGTGCTTATTTTTTTTGTGTGGTAGGTTCATATATGCATTTATGGGAGTGGGGGTTGTGGTATGTTGTATCTCTTGCATTGGTCACATTGGAGCTGAAGCAATTAATGGGTGTTGCCTTTGCTTTGTATCCTCTCTCTTGGTTAAGAATAACCACTTCTGTTAGTTCTCTTAGAATTTATCTCTAGCATTGCTTATATACTGTTAGACGATTGAATTAAAATGATTACATAATTGCTCCATTCTGATCTCGTTATTAGTGGATTTACAGCTCCAATTCCAAAATTGGGTTTGATGGTTTGGTTATGCAATGTTTTTGGATAATTAATAACTAACGGATTCATAGGACGTGGTATTGCTGAAGTAGGACTACTGAGAACTTTGGAAAAATGTTTGCTGAGCTTGTACCGAGATAAGTGCAAATTAGGTTTTGTTATTCTAATAAAATCTGAAAATGGAACTTTATTAGTTGAGAGTAATTATCTAGGTACTGATTATTTTTCTTTTTGAATGGAACTCAATGGAGCAACTTCTGAAGATTCATTTTTCCGCATCTAATATTGATGTTAGACAATCCCTTAGTTTGCTAACTAATGTTTTTGTAGCTGAACTCATGCCCTTGTACATTTATCCTTAACCTCATAAAATACTTAGCATGCTTTACTCACAACCGCACTCATTTTACTGGAAGTGGCTTTGGTGGCATTTGTTGCACTTGATCATCATTGGGAGAAGGTGCAGTTTCTATTTTGATATTTCGTGCTGGTGTGTTGGTTTTTGATCCTGCTTACATATCTATTATATAATTTTCAGGATCTTCCATTTGACCCAACTGGAGAACTGTATAGAATTCGGGCTTTCATCGAAAACAATGTTGAAGTTTGTAAGTGGGTTGGAATCAGTTTGGTTGTAATTCAGGTTTGTTTTAGCTCCTATCAGTTCTATTCATGGAATCCTAAGGTTTGTTTCTTTATAAAGCACACCAAGTACTAATATTCATGATTTAACTCCAATCCTCCCCTTAACCCCTCAACTGAGAAAGCGGAAATACTCATTTAAAAGAGCATGTGCAGAAGGAATCGCAACTCATAATTCTGACATTTTTTTGTAAATTTGATTGTCATCTGTTAGTTGGATACTTGGATGTGCTAATCGTGTCTGATAGACATCTTCCTTGGTTTTGTTTTCAGGTTTTATCCCTACTTCTCGCAATGATCCTGCGAGCCATGGTTTCTATAAGGCGAGAAGACAGTGACATTGAGGGAGGCTATGATGTTAGCGATAGAACACCACTGCTAAATCCACAACTAAGCCAAACATATGGGTCAATCAAAGGCATTAGAACTCACTCTGACAGCTGGAGCTCACGCATGAGAGAAAAGGTATCTCTTTAGTCATTATTCAGAAACCTTGTGGACTGCCTTTCTGATCTCAACAGATCTGTTTTCTAGACTTTTTACTAAATCTCAAAGGAGAAAAAAGAGTAAAATATCAATACTGCATTCTTTGACAAATCAACTACTGTTATAAGAAATTCAGTGGAGTAAAAGAGCACTGGATTATACCTCTTCTATATAAATCAGCTATTGTTCATTTATTTACTCCTTAAAGTTGTCTTTTGCTCATCTATATAATAAAGTAACTTACAATTTAAATCTCAAAAGATAAATAAAATGACTTTTACTATTCGCGATTGAGATCGCTTTAAATTTTACTTTAAAGTTAATCTAACGGTTAATATTAACACCCTAAATTTAATAGAAAAAATAGGCCCCTAAGGGTGTATTTAGAGTGACTTTTTAAAGGTATTTTTAGAAATTATTTTTCATAAATATTTAAAAAGAAAATAGTGTTTGAAACCGCTTAAACAATATCTCTATCACCATGCTCACTCCTACCCCCACTCCCACCACCACTACCACTGTCGCGACTGCTGCCGCCGCTATCGTCACTACCACCACCGTCGTGGCCACTTCCATCATCACCACCATCACCATCGTCGTCGTCGCAGCCGTCGCCACCACTACCACCACCACTACCACTGTCGACGCCGTCGCCACCACCACCACCACTACCACTGCCGACACCACCACCATCATCGACAATACCACCACCATCACCACTATCACTGTCGTCGCCGTCACCATCACTACCGCCGCTGCTACCACTGTCACCACCACTGCCGCCACCACCATCTACCCCACTGCCCTCATCGTCGCCACCCCCACCCCTACCGCCACCACCGCCACCACCATTCCCTCCACCACCGTCTCCACCAACGCTACCCCCACCACCACCACCGCTGTCGCTGTCACCATCAACACCATCATTGTCGTCGCCACCACCACTACCATCGTCGCCCCACCACAACCATCGTCGCCCTACCACAACTATCACCGTCTCCTACCACCACCACTGTCACCCATCACAACTTACCCCCATTACAAATCGATGCTTAAATTCTTTTATCTCTTCTTTATGTTTGTGATTTGATTTTAGATATGAATGCAAATATGTTTATTGTTTACTATTTTTTTATTACTCTGTGCCTTCAGGCATAGGGCAATAACTAGGATTTTATATTGCTCCTCCCTACCATGCATCATGTGTGCTGGATCGTGATCTGGCTCAAGTCATGTCAGGTCTGCAGAGGTGGATCCTTGAAAAAGGACAGAGGCAGATTGTGGCTTTTGTTACACCATATTAGTTCCAGTTTGAATGTGGTTCATGCTGGATGTCTTCACCAATTATGAAATTTGAGTCATGATCCTGTGATCTGGCCCATGCAGCTTGCAGTTGGGCATGCTGAATGTTTGATAGTTATCATGGGTTTGCTGTCCGTTTATTTTTCTTTGCTCATTTGAAAAATATCATTGGAATTGAACCTTACCCGTTCCTTGTTGGTTGGGAGCAATTTGTACAGTAAGAAATAGAATTGTTTGGTTGCATTGAACAGGTGTAGGTTTATATGTCTAAGTCCCTTCCTACATTCCTAATCAGGATTTATAAATTTTAAATGTTTGATATTTTCTGGAATCATGTTATAACATCATGTAATTGGCTCTTTTTCGAGGGTTTCAATAATTTTTGCCCTCTGTTCATCAACGTGGTTGTGGATGCTGTCTTGTGTATCAGTACTGTTTTTCAAACATATTCTTCTGATTTAGTAATTTAGGAGCTCTACTATAAGTTTCGCTCTCCTATAACTATTTTTTTCCTTATTGTTTTACTTTGTGATGCAGTATGGACTGAGCAATGGTGGTGAAAACTCTAATTTACTAAATCAGAATGCATCGGTTGACATGAAATCTTAGAAGTGAAGATCAGAGAACTTACTATTTCCAGTAAACAAGACCAGACCTGCAAATGTGTATGTTGTATCATCTTTTATGAAGTAATATGCTTCATTGGTCTTTGATGTTTTTTCATTCTTTGTGTGCTCGTAATAAATGTATATAGGTTTACTGAAGGACTCCAGCTAAAGGTGAGCTATGGGTTAAGGACTGGTTGATGCCTATGTGAAAAATGGGAAAGTTTGTGGTTTGTTTAATAGTCCATGATCACGTAATAGTTGTTTGAGGTACGTTGAATAAATTGATGCAACCATCAACTGTGGAGGGTTTGCCACTTGTATTTTATTTCCTAACATTTGAGGATTGTGTCGGACATGTTCATCCTAAGAAAACACAAGTTTGTTATGTGTAAGGCTGATAGTCGAAAGAGTTCCACTCGAGGCTAAAAAGCTTGTTTTCTTAACCGAGTCTAAAAATTGTTCAAATTTGACTTATTTTTTAAATTATCCGTGTTTCAACAAGCCCAAAACGAGCCGAACCTGAGTTGTGCTCGAATATTTGCACATAAACAGTCGAGTCTGTCGAGCTTGAGTTGAGTTTGTCGAGAAATGAGTTTAAAAAAATATTCAAGTTTGACTCGTTTAAAAAATGAGCCGAGCTTGAACGAGATAAAAGCGAGTTGAATTTTAGCCGAGCTCGAGTAGCTCGGTTTGATTAGCAGTGCCTTAGTTACGTGTGTAGTGCAAAATAAAATAATGATCCAGAATAAATAGAAAAAAAAATTGGTATTTTATTTGAGCGTGGTCAATGTCGTTCAATTAGAAAATTTTAATAGATTTTATTGTATTCTCTAATTTAATTAAAATTTAGTTTAATTTAATTTTTTAATTCAATTATTATTTTATTTTATTTTATTTAGTTTTCTAATTTATTTAAGATTTAAGTTTTTTAGTTGCGGTAGAGTTTTTTTTATTATTTGAAGTCTTGTAATCCTTAGGGCAAAATAGCTTTTGGATAAATAATATTACAGAGAAGACTTGTGTCTCTTTTTTCGAATTATATTACTATTCTTAGGGATATAAAAATCAATTGAAGCCTTTAGAACTAGTATTTTGTGGAATTAATAAGCCTAGAAAAAAATTTTAAATCGATATTTGTGCATAAATTAACAATTTATTTTCCTTATCCTCTTCTTGTTCGTGGTACCTTTGATTTTACTTGTTTTCCTGTATCAATAAACATACCAAAAAAAAAAAAAAAGAAGCAAGCAAGCAGTATGCTAACTAGAATTGTCTATACGTCTTGTCGCGTTAGATTTATATCATATTAAAATTTTTTCAATTTATATTCAATTCATTTATATCTATTTTATTTAACTAGTTGGTGTGCACGTGCGATGCATGTGGACTATTTCGAATTATAGTTTTGTTTTCTTATTCTAAGAGAAACAACATCTAAGCTTTGATCAAGGTCAGCTTGATACCCACAAATTTCCAGGAAAAAAAAAATTAAATGTTCTGTTTCAATTTTTTTTTCTTTTTTTTTTTGGGGAAGGGGGTGGGAGAGGGGGAAGGGGAAGGGGAAGAGGAAAAGGGACTTGATTTCTTAACCTTACGAAAACAAAACCTTTACAAGATAAGGAGTACCATTGAACTAAAGACACATTTCCTATTTTCAATTTACTTTATTTCCTATCATCTAAAAAATAAAATGGATTTCTAACTGAAATAAAGAGGTTGTCAAGACTCTACAAGCAACCATTTGACAAAGAATTTTTCTTTATTTTTTTCATAGCTTTGATTAAGTGTAGTGTTGGGTGGCTGAAGTTATTTCATCCTTCCAGTCTGCTTAGATTTTTTTTCATTTCACTATTGTAATATCTGCACCTTGAGGAGATGATCAGTGAGTAAGGCTAAGACAAATAACAAACCAAATAAATTTACCTCCTAAAATTAAGAGGAACGAGTGCATGAGCATATTTAATAGTTATGTTAGATTAGACAAAACAATAGATAGCTATATAAAGCTTATGTTGTCTTATTATAGAGGATTTGCACATCTTAGTATATAGCAATATTATTGTGTTTTGAGAAATTATTTCTCAGTGTTGTGTTTGATTGTATATTCTTGAAAGTCTATATCTATATTGACCAACCCACTAAACTTGTCCAATTTTTTCAACATTTATCTAGTCAAAATTGATGATTCATAAATTGACTTTGCATACCACCTGTCAAGTGATCAATAATAAATACAGCAATTAAGAGAGAGAGAGATAGAGAGAGAAGCAAGACAAATATTTATAGTGGTTCGATCAACGTAACCTACGTCCACTTTGAATGGCTAGGGTCGCTGGGGTATTTTATTTTTTCAAGTGTGTAGGGAGAGTAGGAAGATACAAGTTCAAAGAGACGGGGGAGTTGTGCTCTACTGAGTCTCCTGCCCCCCAAGTGTTGGCAGGGCTTACAATTTATAGTCGTCTTTTAACAGATTGAGGCGACCTATTAGTAACTAAGTGACTAATCTAGTGAAGCTGACATCTTCTTCTCAATGGGCGAGGCAATTATAACGCTCCCCATAAGATTCGGTCAAAGAATGACGTGAGAGTTGACTCTTTTCAAAGCGGCGTGGATGAGGCTCTTAAATGACCCTGCTTACTCCCTTGACAATGTAACTCCTTAAACCCTAATAAGCTTGACTAGGCATGGATCCCTTTTGGCTGGATACTAGATCTTTATAAGTTGGCTCTTAATTTAAACTGGGCTTTCAACATGAGTTGGGCCTGGTCCATCATTTGCCCCCCAATGTCCCATGTCCAATGAAACTTGGAGAATTGGGCATTTGGTTGAACCTTGAATTCCGGTTGGTGGAGATTTCTTTTGACTGATGACTATTCTCCTTCGTGATATATCTCACCTCTGTAGAACACCTCAAGACTTTCCACATTTTTTTTTGGATTCTAGAAGAACCCATGGGCTTTCCCCCTTTTTCCATTCCTTAATAGGATCTTAAAAAACCCTAGGTTATAAATAAGGAGTTTCTTCTTCATTTCATGGAAAGAACTTTTTTGGGAGATTTCATTGATCTTGAACAGATTGGAGTTGTCCTAGGAGAGGAGATGGAGGCGTGCGGCCTAAGGGAGGCCTTGGGCATCGGAGTGGAGACGACATGGACGCCCACTATTTGTGCAATGGGAGAGGATGACCTATTGGGCGAGCAGGAGGAGTTGCTGTGCTAATTGGACGCACGCAAGAAGGGTTGTTACGCTGGCTGGGCGCACAGGAGGGGCACTGCTTATGAAGCAGGACTGGGACTCCAGCGCGCTGGTCGAGGATTGGTGAGTGCTGATATAGCCCCGGGAGACACTGGGCTTGGCTAGGCAAATACACAAACGATGCCGAATGGATGAGGCTGATTGTTGACATTCAATCTAATGTAATCCTGTGAGTTGTAGACGGCCTGAGTTTCAAAAGTGTGCCTAGAGATGACAAAAATAATGTTATTCCAACATCAAAATATCTAACATGATTACCTAGAGAGAGAGAGACAAGTAGCTTACATGAGAGCAAAGACAGAGTTTGAGGATTGCTCGTGAGAAAGCTGCTCCTTTTGAGACCGAGCTTTTTGGTGAACCATGAGAGAGCCACTAAGTTGGAGATATAGGTTGCTTACTTGAGAGCAGAACAGAGGTAGGCCAAGCTTTTGGCAACCTGCAAGAGAATGCCTAAGCTAGATTTAGGTTACCTGCTTGAGAGAAGAGCAGAGATAGACCAAGCTTTTAGCAACTCGTGAGAGCATAGCAGAGATATGCCAAGCTTTTGGAGACCCGTGAGAAAGCTTAAAAGCTAGAGATATGCTACATGTTGAGAGCAGTGCAACCAAGCTTTTGGCGACCTGCGAGAGAGCAGTTATGCTGGAGACATAGGCTTCTTGCTTGAGAGCAGATCATAGAAATACCAAGCTTTTGGCGACCCGCGAGAGAGCCGCTAAACTGGAGACATAGGCTGCCTACTTGAAAGCAGAGTAGAGCAGAGATAGGCCAAGCTTTTGGCGATCCACAAGGGAGCCGCTCAGTTGAAGATATGTTGTTTGCTTTAGAGCAGAGCAGAGATAGACCAAGCTTTTGGCGACCTGTGAAAGAGCCGCTCAGCTGGAGATACACTGATTGTGAGCCTGCCCGCATGAGAGCAGACACAAAATTTGAGGGTTAACCCATGGGAGGGTCACCAAGACAGAGGCTTATTCTAATAGATGGAGATAAGGAGGGCACCAAAGAGCTAGGCGCCTGAGGGGATGAGCGCCTGGGTAGGAGTACTTATGGGCCCCTGGCTCCTGGCGTTGAGTCTTCTTGACAATCTCTCTTTTCAAGTGGTGTGAACTCAGCCACAAAATATGTTAATGCCTGTGCTTTTGTGACTTCTTTTTTTTAGAGTCTGGCGCAGGTGGTGATAATGATGGCGAGGACTCACCTCGCCTGGCTTTGGTGACATTCTTGGCGTTTATGTATTTATGAGATTTTGCCCACAATTCTGGCGTGCTCTTTGGTGGGTGCTTTTATCATTGAAAAGAGAAAGCTAGATAAGCGTAGGCCTCCTAAGAAAGCGGTCATGGTAACCTTCTTATCAGGCTGCTCAATATGGAGGATATTCTCGTTAAAATGAGTGAGGTAACTCTTTAGGAGTTCATCTCGATCCTATTTTATGTTGAACAGATGGGTGGCAGGCTTCTGTTGGCGACGTCCACCAATGAACTGTGCCACAAAAGATCTGCTCAGTTCAGCAAAGGAGCTTATAGAGGCCGTGGTGAGTTTGACAAACCATTGTCGTGCTAATCCTTTTAAGGTTGTTGTGAATACCCTACACATAATTTCATTGGGGACGTTGTTCAACTACATTAAGGTCTTATAGGCTTCGACGTGATCAAGTGTGTTCTTTGTACCGTCGAAAATTTTTACAGATGACATTTTGAATTTTTGAAAAAGTGGGTAGTTCGCCACATCTAGTATGAAGGGTGTGTTGGTTCGCCTTACCAGGTAATCGACGATTTCGGATCCTTGTGCCTTCATGGCGTTGAGGACGTCGCCTAGTTGATTCTGCACTTTATTTTATTTTTTTTCGTCCCAGTGGTTTAGAGCTCCTTTTTGGAATTTGTGGTGAAAATGACTCTCATGCTTCATGCTTTGATTTTCGCCCTCATTCTCTTGAAAATGTAGGTCTCCACCATGAGAAAAGGGAGCTGGAGGACAAGGTGGAAGTCCCTCATGGTGGGCTCCCTTGTGTGGGGCGCCCAAGTGGGGAACTCTTTGACGCCTAGGGCGTGGAGCTCCTCTAGCTTGAGGTCCTTCGGGCTGTGGTTCTCCTTGTCGTCCAACAAGCATCAGTTGCAGGATTTGCTGATTCTTGGCTATGGGTTGTTGCATTGTCTGTAGTATCTGCTATGCA